TATTCTAGACATGTGAGATTGAGAATTATTTTTTAGTGTTCATCTTTTGTATATAGATGAATTTGTTTGTGATCATAAGGCAATGAAATGTTAAATAACACGAGACATTGTTTGTAATAGGAAAAGAAACTAGGTTGCTGTTGGTAAAGAACATTTTTCCAATATGAGCATCTTCTCCATCTCAAATAGCGTAGGACACAAAGGGTTGCGGAGAAGTGCGAGTGTCTGGTTTGGTCCATATATTGACTCAACTTCAGCACATCAAATGACAAATCGGGTCTTGTATGGGTGAAATAATTCAATTTTCCAACAAGGTGCCGATAGATGGTTGGATCAAGAAGCAAATGACCTCCATCAGCGTGAAGCTTGGATGAAGGTTCAAGCGGAGAAGAGACTGAGGAGAGAGCAGAAACATCAAACTCCTTCAATAAATCTAAGGTATATTTCCTCTGACAGACTATAATCCCCTATTTTTCTCGAAGTATTTTCATACCTAAGAAATAATGAAGATCACCCAAATCTTTGACTTTGAATTCACTTTGAAGGAAAGACTTGAGTGTGGTTATTTCTTCTATATTATCTCCACTGATGAGAATGTCGTCAACATAAACAACTACTATAGAAACTAGATTGTTTGTCCTTTTGAAGAATAAATAATAGTCAGTTAAGGAGGAGGAATAACCCTTAAAACTTAAAGCACCAGCAAGCCGAGCATACCACTGTCGTGAAGCTTGTTTTAAACCATAAAGTGACTTCCTAAATAAACATACATGATTGGGACTAGGTGGGGGTATACCTGCTAGAAAATTCATAAACACATCCTCTTGTAAGTCACCATGTAAAAATGCATTACTAATATCCAATTGATTAGATAGGCTAATTCTTCTTTACTGCAACAACCATTAAACAATGGATGGTAGTCATTTTGGCTACATGAGAAAATGTGTAGTCAATTCCTTCCCTTTGAATGTCCCCCCTGACCATCAATCGTGCTTTGAGTCTTTCTACAGTTCCATCTGAATTATGCTTGACCTTGTAGACCCATTTACAAGGTAGGGCCTTCTTGTCCTGTGGTAAAAGAACCACATCCCATGTGTGGTTAGCTTCTAAAGTTTCACTTTCTTAATGCATTGCTTGTATCCATCCAGGATGGGCAGAAGCTTGAGAGAAGCTGGTAGGTTCTGAAATCTCTGAAAGAGATTGCATCATCTGCCTGTTATGAGCAGAAAGTGCACCAAAGCTAAAGACATTAGGCTGGCAGGGCTGAATAAAACATGACGAAGTAAGGTCAGTCAAATAAACATTAGAGCAAACAAAATCTTTGAGGTGAGCAGGCCATTTAGAAACTCTAGTAGACTTCCTAATTCCTGGTGTAGAAATAGATGTAGTGGGCAAACCAGTGGTGATGGAGAAGGAGGATGAGAAAAGTGAGGTGATGGTGAGGGAGAAAAATGAGGTGAGTGGATCCCGGTGATACTAGGTGATGAAGGTGGTGTAGGCTCAACCAAAGAGGTGTTTGGTGGAAGGTCATTGGTGGTTGTGTCCATAGGAGAAGGGGTGGGAAATATAAGATCTGGATTAAAAACAAACTGAGTGTGGTGTGGTGGCTGAAGCAAAAGGATAGATGTTTTCATGGAAATGAACATCTCTAGACACAAGAATTCTTTTAGTATCTAATTCCAACACTTTATACCCTTTTTGAACTAAAGGATATCCCAAAAATACACAACTCTTTACCCTTGACTCAAATTTGTTTCTACTACTAGACAAGGTAAAAATATAACAAAGACATCCAGATGACCTTAATGAATCATAAGAAAGAGACTGATTGAACAGAATAGAATCGGGTGTTTTCCCTTGAGGAACCTTAGAAGGTAGCCTGTTTATCAGGTAGGTTGCAGTTAATAGACACCCTCCCCAATATCTGATAGGCACCTTAGATTGGAAAAGCAAAGCCCTTGCTATTTTCAAAAGATGTCTATGTTTTCTTTCAACTATGCCATTCTGTTGAGGTGTTGATACACAAGAAGTCTGGTGTATTATTACTTGAGAGCTGAGAAAAGCTGCTTGCTGTGATCCTTTGCCTAATTCAAAGGCATTGTATGTTCTCAATTTCTGTACCTTGACTGCAAATTGCCTTTCTACCATTGTTAAAAAATTCTTTAAGATTGTGAAAGCATTACTCTTGGTGCTTAACAAAAATGTCCAAGTACCCCTGCTATAGTCATCCACAATAGTTAAAAAATACTTAAAGCCATTATAAGTAGGTTCCTTATAAGGGCCCCATGTATCCACATGAATTAATTCAAATGCTCTTTTGGATTTGATTTGACTCAAAGGAAAAGGAATCCTAGTTTGCCTAGCTTTAGGACAAATATCACATAAACAATCAGAATTGGAAGGCAATGAAACAAAACTAAGATTCTTCATTGATGAAAAAGGCATATGCCCTAATCTAATATGCCAAAGGTTTACATCTGTAACCACATTAGTAGAAAATGGAAAGACAATTGAAATTTGATTGAAAACACTATGAACTGAAGGTGAAACAAGTTTCTCCTTAAGACTAGGCTGGAACAGGTAGAGTCCTTCATTTGTATCACCAAAAACTTGAGGCCTCTTTATGAAAGGGGCATGCAATAGACATTGAGTATGAGTGAATCAGATTATACATTGAAACTGAACAGAAAATCTATTAACTGATAATAGATTATATTTAAAACTAGGCACATGAAGGACCTTTTCTAAAATAAAATTAGCAGAGATAGGGACTTTCTCTGTATGTGTAACTGTTACCCTAAATGAATTAGGCAGATTTATGTGTAAAGGTGTAGGAAGAGGATCTAAAGAGATAAAAGTATTTGAATCAAAACACATATGTTCTGAAGCCCCTGAATCAATTATCCAAACACTGGTATTAAAAACTAAAAAACAGCAGCCAATATATTTGTTAATAGTACCAGCTACTGCATTTGCATTTATTTCTAAACTGCTTCCTCTATCTGAAATTTTCACTTGTTTGATCATCTGAACCAATTGTGAAAATTGATCCTTAGAGAGGTGTTGGTTTAACACTTCATTGTAACTGCTGACTCCATCATCTGCTTGATCCCCTGTAAGCACTCCATTGCTCCTGATCTGATTTTGACTTCCTTTAGCATTTGTGAATTCAAAATCCTCAGGAAATCCAATAATCTTGTAACAATCTGCAACTGTATGTCCTATCTTTTTGCAATGAGTGCAAGATACATTAGGATTGAACCTTTGTTTCTTTGGTTTTGAAGCTGTGTTTCTTTGTGATTGATTTGCAAATCTCTGCATATTATTTTCTGATTTCTGGAGTTGCATGGGGTTTTCCCCCTTTTGAAATTATTGAGTGTGCCGTGTGTTCTTTTGCATTTTCTTGTTTTTTCTTAGTGCATAACTTCCCTGACTTCCCACCATGAAGGATGAGGAATCAGAAGAAATAAGAGGATTCATATAGACCTCTCTCCGACTCTCATCCTGTAATACTAGAGAATAAGCATGATCTATGCTAGGTAGAGGATTCAACATTAAAATGTTCCCCCTAGCCTGACCATAAACATCATTTAGTCCCATGAGAAACTGTATAAGTCTCTCATCTTCTAAGGATTTTTCCAGCTTTTGCTTCCCAGAACATACACAAGTACAAACACACTTTACATCACAAATTAGAGAGTCTAGCTCATCCCATAAACGTTTGAGTTTTGTAAAATAGCTTGCTATATCATTTGTTCCTTGAACTAAAGAAGATAATTCCTTACGCAAGTGATACAATTTTGCTTCATTTGATTTTCCAAATCTGTGTTCCAGACTGATCCAGAGTTCTCTTGTAGATCTGGAGTAGATGACACTATCTCCAATGTCTTTGGAGAGTGAATTCAACAACCAAGAAGTCACCATATCGTTGCATCTAGTCCATGGTTGATAGTCCTTAGATGTGATAACAGGAGGAGCACGGGTTCCATCAATAAATCCCAGTTTGTTCTTTGTTGAGAGTGCAATCAGAACTGACCTTCTCCAACCTTGAAAACCCCTTCCATCGAAGGCTGCATTCACGAGACTCATTCCTGGAGCATCTGATGAATGCAAGAAGTAAGGGTGATTTGGATCGAAGTTAGCTCCATTGCTGGAACCAGTTTGAGGTACAGTAAGATCTATTGTATCAGTCATGGTGACTGAGACTGTGATGAACAGAAAGTTGAAGGAGAAGGAAGATCAATCCCAGAAACGAGCTATTGCTCTAATACCATGATAGAATGTAAATATGAAAAATAGATTTGTGGAAATTTTCTATGTATTTCATCATCTGCAGAAGCAGTGTATTTATACAAGTATTTGTGTAAAGAAAAACAGAAATGATAAAGAATCATCTATACAACTGGCTATTTCTTATTTGTTATCTAATAACTAAATAACTGAAGAATATTCTTCTCTATCCTATTTTCACGGTGCACATGTGAGAGAGGTAAATGTGAAATCCAAAGCTATACAACTGTTAATTGCTTTATCTGAACGGCCCTCATTTAATCTATCATTTTTTTTTAATCAAAGGTCAGGATTGAGCCACGAGTCCAAAGAAGAGGACTTAGTCTTTGTCCTAGATATGTCCGAAAGATAGTCATTTGACTTGAAACCTAGAGTGTTCTGTCCTTCATACGGTCTTCACATCAAATAGAATAGTGTAATTTATAACGAATTTATACCATAAAATATCAATGTAACATAAACCATCAACCAGTGAGCTTGGAATATTCTCATCAACTTTTTCAAAATGTTCCATTCAACTTGGCTTCCTTAATTACATTGACTAATGCAACTATAAACAAATAAATAAATAAAAAGAGAAAGCTAGCTAGCTAGGAGTCTAATTTTCTGCCGTTGGCATGTTATAACGGCAAACAGGGCAGTAATGGCTCTTTTCTAACCACTTAGTAATGCAATCTCCATGAAACATATGTGAGCAAGGCAAGCAAAGGATCTTTTTCCTCTCTTTTGCGAGTTGTTCCAAATAAATCACACAGTCATCATTCAAACACTGATCTTCGTCAATCTCCATTCTTTCCGGCAACTGCATTATGGATGACTTACTAGCAGGTATCATCATCCCATTGAAGCGCCACGCCGACCATTCTTCTTTCCTCCCATCCCAAATATATTCGACTTTCGAATTTAAACCAACAAACATCTCCAAGTTTTGGCAAGTAATACCCTTGTTCAACTCATCATCAACAAATTTACGTATCTGACAAATCATTTTATGGATAAGAATGTGACTATACGTCTCGTAATAGTCCCCCCAGTTCTTGAGATTTCCATCAATGACACGGTAGAACACGTCATATGACGAGTATTGAGAAGGGCATAGTTTGAGATGAAATGAATTGGTCTCAGTTTCATGAGATTCAGCCATATATAGGAGTTGTGGAGGGTAATCATGGGGTGTTATATACCAAACGTCAAGTTGAGTACGAAGGTGAAATTGAAGAGCTAAAGTAGGTAAATCAGAAATATTATTACTATTATGGTTATAGATTCTTAATTCCTGTGGTGATACTGGTAGTGGTCGAACTACGCAGCTTACTTCCCCCCTGCAATGATGACGGTGCTCTTCGAAAATAGCAGCATCCATGTTCAAAGAGTCGACATGTGTGAATGTGGTCTCCAACCTCTCTGTAGTTATATAGAGCAGATGAGAAGCAAATCCAGGACCAACTCAAATTAGGAATCGGTTAATATCTTCGGTCCCAATTAATAAAAACTCAAAATATTGCAAGGAAAAAGGAAAACATAACACGAGTAAATCGAATACCTTTTCCACTTAATAATTCTATAAAGTAATTTCAGGAAGAACTATTTACTTGAGGCATCTTATCCTTGCCATAGTATTACTTTAAGGAAATTCACAATAAAAAAGAAAACGCCATTGATTTACCCTAAAAAGCACCGAACAAACCTAAAAACAATAATTTCATAAATCAAGCAAAGTTCTGGAGAAACAAAGGAGAAAAAAAGGATGAAGGAACTTACTGATTTGCAAAGGGAAATCAAGTCACAAACCCATCAGAAGATTATGCTTTGTTTCTTACTTTGAGTGACGGATCATAATAGTTTCTACTTTCTAAGGAAAAATATTTGGATATTTATGTCTAAAAGGAACTGTTTTGAGAGAATTTTAAAATTTAAAATATACCGTGGCCCGTTACACGCGAATAAGTCAAACATGTATACAAACTCATTTGTTACGAAATTTTTGTAAAAATAGCACTAGTCATTTTTAGGACTGCTCCTTAAAAAATAATCAGTATTTGCAAAATCATTGAAATATAGTCACTATTTTGCTGTAACACGAAAAGTTTCACCATAATATACTGGAGATTCGAGCATTTGTGTATGAACTTCCAGTATATTATTTGGATCAGTATATTATACTGAAACTCTAGTATATTATATTGGAAGTCCAGTATATTATGCTGGAACTTCAGTATAATATAGTGAAACTCCAGATAATATACTGGAATTTCAGTATATTATATTAAAATACTTTTCGGATTTTGAAATTAGTTGACAAATTTGGGTGCTCTGATGAATACTTATGCCTCTGATGCTCGTGGTCAATTTGGTGTTAGGCAAAGGAAAAAATCTAGGAGGAGATCCAGTTATTCTCTACTTAATTTCGAATAGCCCTTTTCCCAAAATTAACTGATGAAATAATTGATTGAGTTATTATTCTTTGATGGAATTTTAAGATAAGGACACCAGCTGTTCAGCTGAGGAAACTCCAGCTGAAGAGGTATATTTCTAGTTGACGACGTCTTAACCTTGTGTGACTTTGAATGCTAGTCTCTTTCCATTTTATCATATCTTATAGTAGTAGTTGACATGTCATATATTGTTCACATTGAAAAAGCTGTAATGTTATGATTCTTCCATTTGTTCTTTAATTGTATTTGTGTCTTTATTCCAATGTATCAGAAGTTTTGATTTGAAGTGCCCTTCCTGATGAATCTTTATTATACCGAGTGTTGCTACTCATCTCTCAATTCATTGAAGGGATATGAAGTAAGAGTAATTTGGTTCAGTGCTTGATAATTCTTGTTTTAGGCGAAAAAAGTAAATCCCAGAGAACTGAACCCATATTTGAAGGATGGTGGAGGTGTGGTTATCCTGATGATTCAGGAGGAACAATACAACTTCTGTCTACTGCTGTTATTGGCGACGGAGGTGCAAGTTGGAGGCTTAAAGCCTTGAGACGAGCTCAAGAACAAGCAGATCGTGAAGGACGGAAGCTTGATGAGGTTGGCATTCTAACTTGTACAGTTATTTATAGGTGGCAGCAGAATGCTTGGGGCTCACTTAGTCAGCTTGCTGTTTCTGTGGCTTCCGGTAAAGCTGCACCAACCCATGCTCATCTTCATGCTATCAACGATACAAGGCGAGGAGTAATGGATGATAAAGAAGCTGTTGCAGACAAAAGAAATCAGACTTATGCTAGAAAGGTAATGTCAGATGTGAATTTACCATAAGATGCCAGTTAGTTGCTTTTATATTTCTTTGGTTTTTCATTACAGTTTAGTTTTAGTGCTTTATGGAATGACTTCTGAATATCAAGTTTAGTTTTAAATTAATTTTGGCTTTTTCTTACACATCTAACCCTGTGGGATTACATTGGCTTTGCTGTTGTTGTTGATGATGATGTAGAGCCCGTTTGGATTAACTGATTGTAAATAGCTGATAAGCTTGTAGTGCTGAAAAAAATTTTTAAATGCTGAAACTGATTTTTAAAATAAGTATTTACGTGTTTGGATAGAAGTGCTGAAACTGATAATAAGCAG